TTGATCATCTGTCCATCATCGTATAAAGCCCGCCCTGACAATTTGTAAGTTCGGAATGGCACCCAGGCTAGGAATATCTGTGAAGTCTGTTGACTCTAAAAAGTGCTTTTTAAAAAGTACTTTATAAGTACAGGAAATTTAGCATCCAATACTGTACTCTGCTCTGCAAGGATCATGGATGGAGAAAGACGTTTTTCACTCATGGTCCCAGTTTTGTGTCTGGAGAAAGAAATATGTAGACATCCAGTTTTTGTGGCTGCTGCAGTCATAGGTTGTGGAATCAGACTGTCCTAAACTTTGAATCAATGAGTTCAATGAGTGGTGAAAAAAACCCTAACAAAGAGTTTGAAGCTCATCATGCATTACATTACATCTATAAGTTTTATTGTACGCTCTGCCCTTTCAGCTATTTGACCTGTGCAATTATTTCTAATTCCAGAGCTGCCTCACTGAAATGCTGATGATGGAGAACTGGAAGACTAGTCTGCTCAGACAAGCAGCCAACCTAAAGAGGAGTGGGAGTGTACAGCCAAGCAACTTGCACATCAAAATGCATAACCTTACACACACGTGGCAACAACTAGAGGTAAAACACATTTAAATCCCAACACGTAGATACTGTGAGAAAGACATCATATCCATATGTAATTAAAAATTATTATGAGTATAACTACACAAAAACAATAGCCTGTCCTGCATCACTGTCCAAAAGATATTAGCACGGGTGCTTAAAGCTTCTATGTTTTGAGAAACTATGTTTTTTTAACTCTAAAACCTTTACTACCTTACCTCCGAGTGATTGCATAGGTTTTATAATTTTAAATATAGTTTTGCCTCTTTAAGTTTGTAAATTCCGTAAAAGTTCAAAAAAATCCACTAGACTTGTTTTCCAAGATTTGAAGACGTTTCTCCACCTCTCCAGGAAGCTTTCTGTCATGTTGGCTTTCAGGGATCCTAACCCACATGCAGAAACACTCAGAAACAGGAGAAAAAGTTCAAAGGTTTATTGAATAAACAGGGGGTTATCAGATTCAGGACTGGTCACGACTGGTTTCTCTGCAGAGGGGGACAGAGAGGTTAGCAGATATCCAGGTATGTTACAAGTTGAATGAGAGCAGGTCTGTACCTGTTCAGAAATTCAGGCTGAGCGGCAGAGGAGGGGAACCAGGAGGGTCCAGAGGCTGAAGGCAGGCAGAGGCAGGGCTGAGTAGTGGATCTTACAGAGCAGGTTCAGAGCTTCTCTCTCAGCTCTTTCTGAGAGCGGGCAGGAAGGTATCAGACTGATTCAGGTTTCCAGGGTTCTCCTGAGAAGAGACTGCTTGGTTTCACGCTTGAGAAACTCTTCCAGGTTTCAGGTTTCCAGGCAGGTTCTTCCTGAGAAGCAGAAAGGACAAAAAGCAGATTAGGTTCAGATTCAGGCTTCGGGGAAGTCAGAGATTCAGACAGGCTGGTCGGCTAAACTCTGGCGTCGGATTGTAGCTCTGCACCTCCTTAAATGCCGATCTCCTGATGAGCTCACGAGCCGCAGGTGTGGTGGTCAGCTCCAGCTCCAGGAGACCTAGAACGCCCTCTGCTGGAGAAAGGTGGACAGACCTCCAGATACCAACACTTTCTCAATTCAAATGTCTGGATCCTCAGTGAGTTTGGGTCCTATATAGGCAAGGCCTTGTATTGCTTGGAAACATGCAAATGGTAACCGATGAATGGGTTGTTTGGTTCCATTGCTAGCCTGTAATATCTGAAACCTATCTATGATTCTTCAGATATTACAGGCTAACAATGGAACCAAATTACATCAGTGATCACCTGAACAAAAGAGTGGACTGGAGACACAACTGTGAAGCCATCTACAGAAGGGACCGAGCGATTTGCTTAATCAAGAACCAATAACCTTTAGTTAAATGATTCTTTACCCTCTTTGAAATAGCTAGCAGCGAATAGACATCAGGATTCCACTAAATGACTCTTGGTCAGACTTGGTAATGGAAATGTAATGAGCATCTGAGGAAAACATGAACACTAATGTTATATCAGTGTTTAACACTTAGTGAATAAAGCTTGTCCAAGCTTAAGCAACAGCTACAACGTATTCCTGTAGCATAGCGTAGCATGCAGTCCATTCTGTGTCTTTACTCTTCAGTAAACACGTGATATGATTAACATGATCAAAAGACATATTGTTTGTTCTGTCCCTGATTATGCCAGACCTGCAAACTTTTTTTTCCATGTCAATTGGAAAGGTTGAGTTTCATCCAGCTGCAGCTCAGCAGTCAGTGGCTCACAGCAGGAGTTCTTTGTCTCAGTCGTTCATCATGGCAGTCCTTCTTTCCAGTCTGGCTCTATAGGTTCTGAAACTAAAGAGAAATGTGTTGCAAAAGGTCTTTTTTGCTGCAGTTTGGTTCTGAAAGGTTCTGACTTATCCTTGAGGATTCTGGAGATCTGGGTCTTTCGGTTCCGGCAGGATCTCCATCTTTGTTTTAAAAAAATGTAGATATAAAAAACATAACCGCGGATGTCTGGGGGACAGTGATTCGCTTACATGCTATGAATGCTGGCGAACCATAAAGAATAAATGATGAACAGTTTAGTTTGTGCCTTCAAGTCGTTGCCCATAGGAAGACGTTAGTTGTATATAAACTAACGGAATATCTTCAGAACAGCTCCTTAAGACACAAAACTCATATGGGTGAGTAGAACATGATGGAATGACGTAAAATCAAGGGACCAATAAAAAAAAAAAAAAACATAATCCCCTTTAATTCACGTATTTACATATTCACATATTTGAAATATTCATAGGGAGAGGGTTCTTGCACCGTGTGAAGATGTCCTTTCATATTGATCTATCTTCATGCGTGCTAATATTTTACCTCACAATCCAATACAAATGTCCACGACCTCATCCGTCCTCACATTAGCAGCACTGGCTTCCTTAACAGGTGTATATATAAGTAATTAAAATCGGTGAGAGCACATTGTTAAGTAGTAACCGGATAAAAAAAAGAACGACTGCACAGTCAGAAAGCCACTTATTTACACTGTAATGAAAGACAGTGTTGTGCAAGATATGTTATTTATTGCCCACTGGAACCTTTGAACTAAGCCAAACTCCTGTAAACCAACACTGCATCAATATTCCCCCCTTCCCCAAACTTTAAACCTAGCACAGTACAGCCCGATAAGCACCATTCTCCTTGCAACCGACAAACCTATAACCTGACTCCGTCAGATGGATTTGCTCCGCATATCTATCTGGAAACCTTCCGTTGAAGTAATTTTGGGAAGGGGCGAAAATACTGGTTAGCTGATTGGCCTATGTTGGTGATAGACGGGCCAAATAAACCA